TTCAACTTGGTCGAACCAAATTGACCCATGACCCGGATGATTATCCGGTTCACCTTCCAGGCCAATTTTAAAAACACTGCTTAGAACTTGATTACCTTGTTTCAGTGAGTCCTAAATTCGCCAAAATGTTAATTTTAGTACACCGAAACCGGTAAATACAGTATATGTATCATGCTTTCCAAATTATCTTATTATATAAAGCTGGATGCGCACGACGTGGTTGCGACACGTAGGATTTTTATAAAATTCAGGATCGCGACATGTGTCACTTTTAAGTTTATGTCCGTTAAGATCGTGACACGTGTCTTAGAAAAAAAGAGAACTTAAAAAAAAAATTCCAGATAAATGTTAATTAAAAAAAACGAAATTTAATTTAATCTATTATATCAAAAAGGAAAAAATAATATTTGCCATATCCAAACAGAAAAAGGTTTCCCATTCATCAAAATTTTTTATTATATAAAGTTGGATGCTTTTAGATAAAGGAATTTAAAAAAAATAATTAATCTATTACAGTTAAAAGAAATAAAAATATATTTGTCATATCCTAATAGAGAAAGGTTTTCCATTCATCAAATTAATATTATCCAAACAAATAATAAAATCAAAATAATGTAATAAATAAAATCCTATTTGTATAATGTTATGTAATCAAATTAATATTATCCAAACAAATAATAAAATCAAAATAATGTAATAAATAAAATCATATTTGTATAATGAAATAAATAATGTTATGTAAACTAAATTTCATATAACTGAATAGGTTACTTGAATCCCTATAAAAGAGAGTCAAAGTTTCTCAATCATAAATTCATCAAAGCAAATTCATCAGATCCCTTTGATTCTATTTCTCCAATTTAAAAATCATGTTTTTGACAGTTTTGCGATACATATGATTTTTATAACTCACAAAATTGTGACATTTGTTTTAGAAAAAAAAATTATGAAAGTATGAAGATCGTAACATGTGTCATAGAATAAAAATAAAAAAAATTAATATGTATAAGACTAAATAAAAATTAGAAAATCAGATAACAAATAATTAAAATGAAAAAATAATAAATCCATTAAAAGTAATAAAAAACAGAAAACAAATAATTTAAATTCTTTTGTTACATCTATTAAGAAAAGGAAAAAAATGCATTTCGAAAAGGAAAAATATCAATATATATTATTTATAATGGTATGAGGCAAAAACAAAATTGAGAAAGAAAAAATATAAATAGAAAACTAACAAAATAATATTCAAGCAATTAACTAAAATTAAAAAATTATAATCGATATTCTAATTTTAAATAGTTTGATTTTCAATTTTTGTTAGGTAAAAAAAATTGAAATAAAGATTTCATCAATTAAAATCTCTTGAATGGAATAATAAAAGTTTGATTAATTAATCAGTTGATCAGATTTAGACATCTAATATATTATTTGCGAAGTCAAAATTTCGTTTAGAGGCACCACATTAACTCTCAGCTGGTTGATTACCCACATACCCTTAATGAAAATTCTATTTTTAAACCTTCATAACTTCCTGTTTTTTTTTAATGTCACAATTTATACTATTAATTAAAATAGTACATGAACTTTATTTTGTTACAATTGTGGGTGGTGTTATTTTGTTACATGAACTTTATTATAGGTGGTGGTGTTACAATTGTGGGGTTTGGGTTGGTTAAGGGGTGGTGTTACACTGTGGGGGTTTGGGTTTAAGGTATAGAGTTTATAGTGATGGGTGTAGGGTTTAGTTTTTGGTGCATTTTTAAAAACTTGAATTATTATTGAAGAATTTCATAATAAAAAATCATTCATTATAATAAGTTTATATCTACTTTCAAAATTATATTCACAAATAGAAGAAAAAAAACTAAAACAGCTAAAGAAAATTCAGAATCAAAAGATAACAAAACCAATGAATTTTTAAAAGATCTCGACTATCTAAAGATAGAAACTATTTCACAAATCCTTAAAAATCTAAACTATCGAATGAATTGATAGGTGAAATGCAAGATATAGACAAGAAAGAATAAAAACACAAGCAAAAGAAAAGAAGAGAGTGAAAAACAAGATGAAAAATTTGGAGAAGAAGAAGAAAACTCAAAAATGAAGAAAAAACAAAGAAGAAAAATTGGAATGTGAAGAAAATTCCAAAACGAATGAAGAAGATTACGTAGAAGAATAAGAAAGAGAAGACAAAAAATAAAATACATCAAGATACAAAAACAAGAAGTTTGTGAAAACAAAAACGATGAATACAATAAAAATTCTACTATTTCTATTATTAAGTATAATAAGTATTTTACTAAGCTAATATGGTTTTCATCGGTTTGTGATGCTGAAAGATGAATACTGATGCTGTTACATTAGCATCACCACCTCTTGAATCTGGCATGGTTTTATATAAGATTATAAACCCATTATTAGCTGAAATTAATTTATTTGATAAAAGTTTGTCCACCATGATATATAAGAAGAATAAATCTCCTTCATATTCATATAAGATGATATGCTATTCTTCTTTTACAATTCAAACATTATGTATTTATAAAGAATGTATTTATGGATATAAAGACATAAAAAACAATTGAGGAACAAAAATTGGAAGATAAAAAACAAAAATTGGAACAAAAATTATAGAATTATAATAGAAGTATACCATTCTAATATATGGAAAAAGAATAAGCAAAAAAAAGAGGAGGACAAAGAATAAAAAAAAACGGAAGAAAAAAATAAAATATGAGATCACTGAAAAAGAATAAGAGGGAGAAGAAAATATTCATTACAAACTTTAACTAATTTTTTTGTGCTTTCACAATTTATAAGTTTATATCAAATTAACAAAATGTTAAGCTATTACTTTCTTGGAAAATAAACACATTACAAAAATAAAAAAGTAATTAAAAAGAAAATGCATTAATCTAATATTAATTGAATTTGTAAATTAACAAAATCTAGACTATCGAATGAACTGATAAGTGAAATACAAAACGTAGACAAGAACGAAAAACATGAGTAAGAGAAAAGAAGATGATGGAATAAGATGATGACAGAGAAGACGAAGATGATAAAAATAGAAAGAGGGGAATGAGGAAGAAGAAAAATCGAAAATAGAATGTAAAGAAAATTAGGAAGAAAAATAATAATAGCGAGTTGGACGATATGAATACACAACAAACGATTGAAGAACAAAAACTAGAAGATGAAGAAGAAACAGAAAAAAAGAAGATGATGACAAGGAGTAAAAAAATGGGAGACAAAAAAAGAAGATGGGATCACTAGAGAAGAATAAAAGGGATAAGAAAACAACAATTACAAAAATAAAATAATAAATGATATAAAAATAAATGCAAAAATCAGGAACTAATTTGTAATGTGAGATTCAGGTGTGTGATTTAGGGGGAGTTATAATGTGGATTTGGATTTACGGTGTATGTTCTTTAATTAGGGGGGAGGGGGTTTATAATGTGGGGTTTGGGTTTAGAGTTTAGGGTTTATATTGATGGGTGTAGGGTTTAGTTTATGATGCATTTTTAAAAAATTGAATTATAATAGAAGTATATCAAAATTAAAAATTACTGATTATAAATTTATATCTACCATTCTAAAATACACTCATAAATAGAAAAAACTAAAAAAATTAAAGTAAATCCATACTCGAAAGATAACAACACAAAATAAATAGATTTTTAAAATTTCTCGACTATATAAAGATAAAAACTATTTCACGAATCCTTGAAAATCTAAACTATCGAATGAATTGATAAGTGAAATATAAGACGTAGAGAAGAAGGAACAAAAACACGAGTAGAATAAAAGAAGATGGTGGATAAGAAGCTGAGAATCTTCGAGAAGAAGAAGAAAACAAAGAAGATGAAAAATAAAACAAAGAAGAGAAAATGAAATGTGAAGAGAAAGAAGACAAATAAAAGATAAATAAAAATTAGAATAAGATGATGTTAGAGAAGACGAAGATGACAAAGATAGAGAGAAGGGGAATGAAGAAGAAGATAAACCGGACAAAGAAAGTAAAGAAAATTAGAAAGAAAAAGAAGAATAGTAAGTTGGTGGATATGAAGACAAAATAAATGATTGAAGAACAAAAATTGGAAAAAGAAGAAGCAAGAAAAAAAAAGATCATGATAACGAATAAAAAAATAGAAGAAAATAATAAAAGATTTGATGAGCGAAAATAAATAAGAGGGAGAAAAAAAAAATCATTACAAAATTTAACTAATTTTTTGTACTTTCACAATTTGTTAATTCATATCAAATTAACAAAATGTTAAGCTATTACTTCCTTGGAAAATATGAAAAATAATTAAAAATAAAATGCATTAATCTAATATTAATTGAAAGAATTGGAATTCTGAAACATCTCTTGCCCGCGCAGGCGCGGGCCAATCACCTAGTATGTAAGTGTTTATGTATTGGATAAAAATAATATTAAAACAAATTAATTCATTTTGTCATATCATAAATTCAAAAGAAAAATCAATTATAATAAAAATGTAAAAGTATTACCAATTTTATTTTATTTAAATATTTTTTATCGGGTTTTCAATATTATTTTGTTTACATTTAAAAATGATCAATTTTTTTTTTAATATTTTCCATATTTTTATTATAAAATCTTAAAATATACCCGCATATACGCAGGCCTCAATCTAGTCGAATTATAAAGAAAAATAGTTAGGGTACAAAATTTAATATTGAAAAAGATGAGACTTCTATCTGCAATAAACTTGAAAATTACAGCCCCAGATAAACCCAAGTCGATATACATTCATAAACCCTTGCACTTTTCTCGCGCCGCCCTTCAGTGTCTCTATCTCTCTCAAATTCTCATACTCTCCATCAAATTCCGGCCTCGGGCAAGCTTCTTCAAGATTCAATCGTAAAGGGTTTGTTCTGTGGAGTTGATCCTTGTGCCGTATAAACCCTAATTTCAGTGTCCCTGTGCAGTCACACAGCTTCCGCAACCTTAGAACCCTAAACCAACCATGGTTGTCAAAGGGGTAGATACGGTTCCAAAAATCGAAGACTTCAAGGAGCTTCACAACCTCGTCACGCATCATATACAGTCGTTCGATTACATGAAAGAGAAAGGGCTCGAAGTTATGTTCAATCGAATCCAACCCGTCTCGATTTTCGATCCAGAGACCGAGAATAAGCTGACCAATATCCTTTTTTGCACATACCGTTTCTATTACTCGTATTGCACTTTAGTGTTAGTTTCGTGATTACAAAAAGTTGAATTCTTTGTGATTCCTTGACAAAATGTGATACTGTGGTTAGAGAGTCCTGCTCTATACCCTCCTCAAAAGGAGAGTTTTAGCTCAACATCAAGGAAAGAGTCTTTGTTTCCCTTTGAGGTGAAGTTTTGCATTTGTTTTAAAACTGTCTCTACATTACTAAAGATTGGATTTTGTGGAGTAATACCGTTTTATTTTGGTTTCTTGGATAACAGTGTCGGCAGGCGAAGATTTCTTACACAGGAGCACTCATGGCTGAACTTAAGTTGCAGTATAACGATGGAGTTGCTGTCAGAGAGAAAATTGACTTTGGGCAATTACCTATTATGCTGATGGTTTGTGATCATGTTCATTTGGTTTTTCTACTATTTTTTTTTTTTTTTAATACAAGTATATTGGAGAATATAAACCAAAGCCAATAATTGAGAGTCACTTCTCTGGCGGGATGCTTTAATATGTAAAATAACAAAGCTTAGCTTAGTGATTTCTCTACAATTCACAATTTTCTTTTGTACTTTCTCTTGTGATGATGACAATTGACAAGACAAGTCTTTACTTTTGTGCAGTCAAAGCTTTGCCACTTACGGGGTGCTGATTGCCGGAAACTGTTAGTGTGTAAAGAGTCAACTTCTGAAATGGGAGGGTAAATGCTCTTCTTTCTCTTATGCCTTATGATATACAAGGCATGTGGATAATATATGCTTTATTGTTTGTATACATGGAAACTGAATTGGAATTAAGAACATCTCTTCTGCCTATAGATTAGCAAAAATTGCGTATATAGCTCTTGATATTATCCTTCTTTCTATAAATCCAATGGTGATACTAATTTTTAGCTTTCTTTAAAATAGGTACTTTGTTCTGAATGGGATCGAGAGGGTGTTTCGATGTGTTATTGCACCGAAGCGGAACCATGTAAGCTACCTCTGCCTTGAATGTCTGCTTCTTTTTTAACTTTCAGTCGTTGCTTATAGAGTTTATGAATATTTGGTTTACCTGACGAAGAATCTTATGTAGCCAATGGGTATGACCCGGAACTCATTCTGTGGAAAAAGGGAAGGATTCAGTGATACCGCAGTTGCCATAAGGTATGTGAAGTTCGTCTCTTCCGTATTATAATGCCAATTTTCAAATGCTAAGGAATTCTTCTGCTTCTTTCAACTCGTAGGTGTGTTAGAGACGACCAGACATCTGTCACTATCAAAGTGTATTATCTTCGCAATGGAAGTGCGAGAGTTGGATTTTGGTGAGTGTTAACTCGACGTGTGGAATATGGAAGACATTACCTACAATTTGAGCTACATGTTAATTTACTTCTAATGCACACAGGATAGGGGGAAGGGAATACTTACTTCCTGTCGGCCTTGTTCTCAAGGTATGGTCTTAGTGACTCTAATCGTTTTCTGTCTTCTACATCATGACACATAACTTTTTTGTTATGGCGAAGTATATTCTTACAAACGACATATTTTCGGGGTTCTCATTTGTGTTTTTATTTTGTTAATCAATTTCTTCTCTCTTTTGTTATTTGATTTTTTTTTCAATTCTCCATTTTTCATATTTGTCCTTATATGTTCCTAGGCTCTCACTGAAACCAATGATGAGGAAATATACGAAAGCATTAACTGTTGCTACGATGAGCGTTACGGAAAAAGCGAGGGAGGTATTGGAACACAACTTGTTCGTGAGAGAGCTAAAATTATTCTTGATGAAGTGAGAGGCATGGGCCTTCGTACACGGGAAGCGTGCCTGAAGCACTTAGGTAATCTACCTGTCTCAGTGTTTACGTACTACGCATTTCTCGAACTTATAAGCTAATGTTTTTGCTTTTTAAACCACCAGGAGAGCATTTTCAACCTGCTCTTGATGGGCTAGAAAAAGAAAGTTACGAGACTGTAAGTTTACTTGATCGTCTTTACTTCCCCACTTGGTTTCATCAATACAAAATAAATTTTTGTTTGCAAAACAGTTTCTTTTCGTTGTCATTTACATGCGTGTATGTTTTCTGAAAAAATATTGACCAACTTTTTCAAGATAGCTTCTTTTAATTCTGACTGGATTCTAATATACGTAATCTGTTTCTACAACTGCTTACATTGGTTCTTTTAAAAACCTTTTTCGTCTCTTCATTCTTATATATATAGGTTGCTGAAGCCGTGCTCAGGAGATATGTTTTTGTTCACCTTGACAACGATGACGACAAGTTCAATTTGCTCATGTAAGTTCTAGCTTTTGCCTCATGATGGCTTTCATGGTGAGTTTTAAAAGTTATTGTGGTTAACATTGTCTTTTTGGTTTCCCAGCTTCATCATTCAGAAACTCTTTTCTCTGGTGGATCAGACTTCTATACCTGACAATCCTGACGCTTTGCATAATCAGGAAATCTTGGTCCCGGGTCACCTTATAACAGTTTACCTCAAGGTAACATAACTATTGTCCCATATAGTAGAAACCTCTATCTTGAAGTCCATGTGAGAGCATGTCATTCCATCATTATACATGTTTCTGAAAATTGTATGTTTTTATACTGCATAATTATCAAGTTTTTGTTCACTAGAGAAATGTTTTTGCTCATAAAAAGGAGTTACTTAACAAGTTAACATCACATGCATTGGTTTTCTAGGAAAAACTTGAAGAATGGCTGCGGAAGGGCAAAAGTCTTATTGAAGATGAGTTGCGTAACAACAGCAAAAAATTTTCCTTTGAAAGCAGTAAGTCCCTTTCATTTGATTTCCCTGTTCAATGTTCCTATCTTCCGCGTTTCTTGTTACTCTCTATATCCCACATTTATTTGTGCATGAAATTTTCCTTGTTCTCTTCCACAGATAACTTGTTAACTCAATCTCATGTGTATTGTGATAATTCCTTAATTAATTGCAGCTGCTGATATCAAGAAGGTTATGAATAAGAATCCTCCCAGGAGTATTGGTACGTCAATTGAGGCATTGTTGAAATCAGGATGCTTCAAGATGCAGTCTGGTTTAGATTTACAGCAGGTAAGTGCTTGAGTGGATCGTTTGCTTGGGAAGCTATAATCTACGTAACCAAATCCTTTAAATATGATGCGTATTGATAGAACAATACTAATATCTAGTTTCTCCATTCCTTGCCAGAGAGCAGGTTACACTGTTCAGGCTGAGAGATTGAACTTTCTCCGTTTCCTTTCATTTTTCCGCGCGGTTCATCGAGGTGCTTCTTTTGCTGGACTTCGTACAACTACTGTGAGGAAGCTGCTTCCTGAGTAAGTTCCGTCACTTTTTACATACCAAACTCCACATGTGATGTTGCGGTCACAAAAATAGTTTTCTTCACATTGTTCTTGTTTTATTGTGATCTTGTAGATCTTGGGGTTTTCTTTGCCCTGTTCATACTCCTGATGGTGAACCCTGTGGGTTACTGAATCATATGACTCGTATTTGCCGTGAGTTTCTCTTGCTCTCTTTTTTCAATTATCATTTTGTCTCCCTATGAAGTTCAGTACGACATCTTGAATTTAGCAACACTATTCTCTTTAACTTGAAAATCCGTTAGACCAAGTCGGAGTTTATATGTTTAACTAAGCTTTTTGAAAAGCGAGAGATTCACATGGAATCATGTTTAGCAAGATCATGTTTCTGTTTCATTTCTCTTATCTGTAGGTCTTTTGTAGACCATATGCATTGATCTTGGGTATTTTACCTCTAAGATTGCGCACACTCGTCATACCATACAATATGTCACGTAATTGTGGTAACAATTTTGCTTATCATGTTATGATTGGTCATGGTATTTGTAGGAGTCACTTCTCAATTCGATTCAAACGGAAACATCAGAGATTTTCTGAAAATAAAAAAGTCAGTTGTTGATGTTCTTGTTGGGGTTGGGATGGTATCTTCATTGCCAAAACTCGTACGAGCTGCACCACCAAAAGTCATCCATGTTCTTTTAGATGGTCAAGTTATAGGCTCGCTAGCTTCCAGCCTAGTCACAGAGGTTGTCACGTACTTGCGGAGACTGAAAGTGGAGGCTCCTTCAGTGGTAGGGCTTTTATCGCTTCTTAACAGTATATGAGTTGACTGGAAAAAAAATTTATTAGAAGAGAATTATTTATGTTCAAGCTTTTCTCTACAGATTCCTGAAGACCTAGAAGTGGGATATGTACCTACAAGCATGGGTGGATCGTATCCTGGATTGTATCTGGCATCGTGTCCCGCAAGATTCATTAGGCCTGTTAAAAATACATCTATTCCGTCTGACAATATTGAACTGATTGGACCATTTGAGCAGGTAGCGAATCTCAGGGATATGATCTTCATGTCAACCTTTTTTTCTGGTCTACAACCAAATTAAAAAATATATATTCTTTTCTCCTGAACCAGGTTTTTATGGAAATAAGCTGTCCTGATGGTGGAAATGGAGGAAGGAATAACTCTTTTTCAGCAACTCATGAGGAAATTCATCCGACTGGGATGTTAAGTGTGCTTGCTAGTCTTACACCTTGGTCGGATCATAACCAAAGTCCACGTAACATGTATCAGTGTCAGGTAATTACTAGAATATTCAATGAAAGCTGTATGCAGTTATAATGCTACTGGAGTATGTAGCTAACGATTTAATGTAATACAGATGGCGAAACAAACCATGGCGTACTCTACTCAAGCACTCCGGTTTCGTGCTGACCAGAAGATTTACCACTTGCAGGTCATTTGTAATTTACATTTTTTCAAAAAACAAATCTCAGAAAGCAGAAATTACATTGTGCAATTTTCATATGATCATTTTCCTCTTTGGTCTCATGTGTTGTAAAACTCGTTTTGTATGCTGCAGACTCCTCAATCCCCTGTGGTGCGCACAAAAGCATACACAATGTACAATGTTGATGAGAATCCAACAGGGACGAACGCAATAGTTGCCGTCCTGTCTAATACCGGGTAAGAAGCTGCATATGCGTGTAAGAGCTTGTTAAGGATGTGCTTCGATTCATCAGTGTTCCTCTAATGCTTTTCTCTACCTATCTGTCTCACAGATTTGATATGGAAGATGCTATGATTTTGAACAAATCATCTGTGGAGCGAGGAATGTGCCATGGGCAAATATACCAGGTTTGAGTTCCTATTCCTAATTTTGTTATTTGTAAGAAATAGCTGAATTTGATGCGTAAGTTTAGTTGCAATGAGTTTCATTTCATCTGGAACTTTAAAATATGGCTGGTCAATCATCTTTATGTTTAGTTCAGAAACTCGCTATTTGATACCTCCTCCACTTGTTCCTTAATGGACCATGGAGTAAAGATTCTGGTGGTTGCCGCGAGGTTTAATTATCATCTATAAATTTCTTACTCTTGTCCTCGTGATTGTGCAGACGGAATCTATTGATCTGTCAGATCAGAGAAACCGATCGGGTAGTAGTAATAAAAGTTTTAGAAGGAGTGCAGTTGACAAATCAGCTCATTCTCATATTGATGCTGATGGGTTACCATATGTTGGACAGGTAAAATATTGCTTTCTATCATACCTATGTACTGTCGATTCATTCTTTAAGTGTACTGTAGTTCAGAAACTCATTATCTCTTTTTGGATCTGGTACGCAGAAAATATATCCAAATGAGCCGTATTGTAGTATCTATGATAGTGTAACTAACTCAACAAAGCCCATGAAGCGAAAAGGCACCGACCCTGTCATAGTTGACTTTGTCTCTCTTGACATGAAATCCAAGAACCATCCTCAAAAGGTGAGGTTAACTCCTTCAACTGTTGCGTAGACAGAGTTCGATATTTTGCTTAAAACTGATTTTTGAAGTTTCATGGCAGGCGTATGTTCGATTTAGGCATGCAAGAAACCCCATCATTGGTGACAAGTTTAGTAGTAGACACGGGCAAAAGGGTGTTTGCTCGCAACTGTGGCCTGATATTGATATGCCTTTTAATGGAGTTACTGGAATGCGGCCAGATCTCATAATTAACCCTCATGCTTTCCCATCAAGAATGACAATCGCTATGCTTTTAGAATCTATCGCTGCTAAGGTATCCTTAGGTTCCTCTATGCTTCTTCTTTTCGCTTGTCTGTGATGTTTGTATAACCTTGGGGGCTTTTACAGGGAGGTAGTTTGCGTGGAGAGTTTGTGGATGCAACGCCGTTTCGTGATGCAGTAGAAACGGCAAAGGGAGAAGAGGAGGGCAAGTCCACTTTGCTTGTTGATGAACTTGGTTCCATGCTGAAGGAAAAAGGTTTCAACTACTATGGGACCGAGACACTGTACAGTGGGCATTTAGGAGTAGAGCTTCCATGTGAGATATTTATAGGACCTGTTTACTACCAAAGACTGCGTCACATGGTCTCAGATAAATTCCAGGTTCTTGGATCATCCCTCTGCTTTCATCATCCTGACATAATATAATCTGTCTCATTCTTTGAGCTTTGTTTCTGAATCATATGTATATTCTGGGCTTGCAGGTGAGATCCACAGGATTAGTGGATCAGCTAACTCGTCAGCCAATCAAGGGAAGGAAACGAGGTGGAGGGATTCGGTTTGGTGAAATGGAACGTGACTCGTTGCTTGCTCATGGAGCTTCCTATCTATTGCACGACAGGCTCCACACTTCTTCAGATCACCACATTGCAGATGTGTGTTCGTTTTGTGGAAGCTTGCTCACTTCTTCGATTGTGACCCTTCCGCAGAAGAAGCTGATTCAAGATATTGGAAACTTGCCTCCTGGTAGGACTCCAAAGAAGGTTTCTTGCTATGCTTGCAAGACGAGCAAAGGAATGGAAACAGTTGCAATGCCGTATGTGTTCAGGTACTTAGCTGCAGAGTTGGCTTCAATGAATATTAAGTTGACTCTTCAGTTAAGCGATAGGGAAGGAAGCTGCAGCAACAGACAAGAAGTCTAAATTCAATTTCTATTCACCGGGCATATGTTGTTTGTACATCAAAGTCAACTCTTGGAAAACGGGAAACAAATTGTCTGAAATTTTTGCACCAGAGCAAGAACAAGAGTTATATCTCACAAAGTAATCGAGTTGTGTAGAATAATATAAGCTATTTCAGTTTTGGTTTTTCTTCGTTGTTATGATGGTATGAACAAAACCAATGGATTTTTGGTTCTTCAGTATCTTTAACTTGATTAAAGACATGTTCAATGAGCAATCTCAGTTTACTTTATCCAAGTGCATTAACGAGTTAAAGAGAAAAGAGTTATTGATTATCTGATAAATCTTACAAAGGTCTTGCAAATTTTACATCTAAACAAACTCTCTTCTCCATCACTCACACGAAGCAAAAGACTGAAGCAAAATACAGATAAAAGTGGCTCACTTTCCGGGAACGAAGTTGGTGGCGAAGGCCCAGGCGTTGTTGTTGACTGGATCGGCCAAATGGTCAGCAAGGTTCTCGATTGGTCCCTTACCGGTGACGATGGCTTGAACAAAGAATCCGAACATAGAGAACATAGCCAATCTTCCGTTCTTGAGCTCCTTGACCTTGAGCTCCGCGAAGGCCTCTGGGTCGGTAGCGAGACCCAATGGGTCGAAGCTGCCACCTGGGTAGAGCAAGTCCTCGGCCTCTCCCAACGGTCCATCTCCTGCGACTCTGTAACCTTCGACAGCTCCCATCAAGATCACCTGAGTGGCCCATATCGCCAAAATGCTCTGAGCGTGAACCAAGCTCGGGTTTCCCAAGTAGTCGAGTCCTCCTTCGCTGAAGATCTGCGAACCGGCCTTGAACCAGACCGCCTCTCCGAACTTGACTCCGTTCCTGGCCAACAACTCCGGGAAGACGCAGCCTAGGGCTCCGAGCATGGCCCACCTCGAGTGGATAACTTCTAGCTCACGGTTCCTTGCGAACGTCTCGGGATCGGCGGAGAGACCCGCGGTGTCCCATCCGTAGTCACCTGGGAACTCTCCGGTGAGGTAGCTCGGTGGCTCGCCGGAAAACGGACCCAAGTACTTGACTCTTTCGGATCCGTACCATGGGCTTCCTGATGGACCCTTTGGCTTGGCTACAGTCTTCCTCATTGTCACACGGCCACTTCCGAGGACTTCTGATGCCGCTGGGGAAAGCTTCACGGCCTTTCCGGCGAAGGCAGGGGAGGAGAGAGCCATTGTTGAGGCAGCCATTGCGGTTGAGTGCGACGTAAAATAAAACGTTTATTAGTTGTTGTTGTGAGCCAAGAAATGGGTGGTTTGGCTTCGATGGGATTTTTCCGTATTTATAATATGAAAAATCGAAAACCATGTCTTATCTTAAAATATCAGTTTCTGGAGTTTCTATTGGCTGTTGACATATTTTTTGGGGTTAGATTTTTTCTTTATTGATTACGTGTTAATTGTGGGTCCTACTTTGTAGGTCGCAGTTGATTTGTGCGTTTTGAGATATCTTGTAACGTTCCGGGGGATGGTGAAGCATCCACTCATCAAGTGCCACGTATAAGACTCGATTTTCTCTATCCTTTTGAAATCCTGAGAGCATCAATCAAAGGCAAAGCTCTATGAATCTATTCTTTAAATTTTTCAAAATTATTAACAATGACATAACATGACTATAGTCTGAGTATAAAACAAAAGTAGATAAAACGACAGAGTATGGTAATTAAGGTTTTAACAGATTTATAAAATAAAAACATTGGAAACAAACATCTCAATTGATGCAGAAACGTAATCAAACATTCAAAGTTAATATCAAAAACATTATACTCGGACGTAAGAAATTGTATCATCTTCAGAACCAGTGTTGACTGTTGAGTACATTTTACTTTTGGTATGTTGTAATATAAATTTTACTGCAGCTTTCTATAATGTTAAATGCAGTGTCAGCATAATATTCTACTCCAGATAATGGTCAAATCTGTTGGAATTAATTGAGTTTAGGTAATGAGATTTCTAAGTTAAAATAAAGTTTGTATTAAAAGTTGTCTTTGTAAAGTCGTGACTTTTGGTTTAGGGTGTGTTAAGACACAACTCTTTGTGTTTTGTCTTAGTATTTAAAGACATGTAACACGTTATGTAACAATTATCAAGTTTCAGATTAATAAAAACCCATTCCTCGTTAATCTTCTTCTTCACAAGACAAGAGAGAAGAGTTTATCTCTTGCTCTGTTTTTTGTCTCATTCTTTCTCTCTCTCTGTTTTCTAAATCAAAAATCAACAAAATCCCCTACCGTTTTTTTTATTTTCTGGTTATCAAATAAATAAATAAATGAATATTATCTTTGTTTGTGTTTAACATTAAAAAAAAAAAAATTTACTTGGTCATGGACTATTAGCCAAAATTAATAAATTATAACCACTAGTCATTGCCATAGCCACAACTCTTCCCTCTTTCTTCCAAAGGCTACAATAAGCCAATTCCAGTTCCATTTAAACCGTGAAGACACCCGCAACCATCTCAACCGGATAATAAAGGGATAGTGATTCTGCAATCGGACGGTGGTGATTAAATCCGATGAGATGATGGAAATTAACGATAACAACGATGACAAAGAGATATAAGATGATAGGAAGTTCAATATAATTTGGATCTCATCAGTTTCTCCCAACAGATGAAAAATCGATTTGTTTCATTTTAAATTGTTTTTAAATATGGGAAATCGATCAATATCTAGATCAATCACAAGAACCGTTTCAGATTATTGCAGTATAAATATGGTAGTCTATACTATTTTCCCTTTATCTATAATGTTATTTAACGCTAAAACTTGGTTTTAAACCAAGCATAACCTTGTTTGTTGCATGTGAGCCTAGTCTTATTTTAAGAACCCATAATTATGCTATATAATTATTTTCGTTAATAAATTATATTTTGTTGGGTGAATTTGAATTGTTTTATTCATGAAGAATTATGTGCGAAATTATTTATGGTATATAAATAATATATTTCTTGTTGTTAATAAATATTATATTATTTATATTGTGTATTAATATTTAATAAGATTATATAAATATTTGTGGAATAAAATGTTGATTGTTAAGTGATTCTTGTTGTTGAGTGTTGAAGAACATATATCAAATATGGAATTAATTAATGATCGGACATGGTATTCAAAAATTGATTGAGTGTTAAAGAATCATTGATGTTGAATGTGTTAGATGTTATTAATATATATGTATATATAAGTATTTATATATAAAAAGTTATATATATGGACGCTTAGTGAGAAGCGTGTTAGTTAGTGGCAGTTTAAAGGTATCATGCAACAGAAGTAAGGTGGAGGGACCGTGGAAGGCGTGTGGATCCTCTTGCTTGGTGTTGGTGTTTGTTGGATGTGGGGTAGATAAAGGTTGTTCTCTTACCCCAATCCATCGTCGGTGGCTTGACGAGGCATCTTGAGAGACAGGCCGGCGTCTTGAAAGAGAGGCGGACAGCGATGTGGCGCTTTGTACCAGGGGTGTGCGTAGTGATGCGTGGATACATCCAGGGTGTTGAGTTACTGGAGCAAGATACTACGGGGTGTTGTGCCGGTATTTGGTAGCTTCACACGTGGTTGAGCTTGGCTGGACAAGAAACATCACCGTTACAGACCATATTACGTGTTGGGTGCATAGTCCCTCTAGGAGGTTGTTGCGTTATACAGTGTGTGTGGTGTTACATACTTGTATGAGAGGTGACTCATGGTTTGTGTTGTATACACGGCGTATGTGTGGTGATTCACTGTATGTGCCGTGTTATACACCGTCCTTGTGAAGCTATATCGTATGATGTGTTATACACTGCGTGTGTTGATACACACCTTATGTGTGTGTTATACACTGCATGTGTTGGGACATATGTATGTGTGGTGATGCACCGTATAATTTATGTTCACACCGTATGTGTGGAACTACATGGTATGAGTGTGTAATGCAGCATGTGTGTTAGTTCGATGTTGTATAGACGACGTCTTGTTTGATGCTGTTTTAGCACAAGTTACGTTTGTTTTATAGCGTTTCGTATGTTGGGCCCGGTTTAGGTTCATTCTCCTGGGTAATCTAAATTACTCATCCCCCTTCCTTTTTCCCTTTCTCTATTTCCCTTTTCTTACAGGTAGGTATAGAACTGTTGATTCAAGTATAAGTTGGTGGATTTTGTTAAAAACATCTTGGATTTGGGACCATGGTTATGACATCGCAATTTAAGCTGGTTTAGCTTGTAATGGAGGTCTTGATACGCCGTTGTATCTCGGGAGCCTGGGTGGTGGGTGTTACACTTTCATTTATCAATCTGTTGAAAGAGAATTGTAACACTATGCTCCATTTTTCCGTTCTGTTCTTTTTTGTAACAATATAGAGATTTATATGAGTTTTAGACTATACATTATATAATGCTTCTTAACATTATTTCGATTATTGTTGATGAAATCAGTTTAGACTATAAAACGTAAGTGTTTTCAGAGTAACAGTCTCAATCTTGTTTTAAGCACGAGACATCAATGATAAACTTACTCAATCTTTGTCCTAACGTCTTGGTAAAGATCAAGTAAACGACATGTTTCCTAGCTTCAGTACCCATCCTGCCAGCTAACTCGGAATTTCCGATGAATTTAGCCATTGCCTTGCTGAAACCTTCTGGAGTGGGTTCACATAGATAACCGGTTACTCCAGTCTTAACTGTGGAAACATGACCACCACTATTGCACGCCATCGCCTCTAATGGAAGTATCCCAAAATGCTCATCCTGCAAAATCAAACTTTTTCGTTTATATATATAAAGTTTATGTTCCTCTCTTCTCAACCCTCCACGTCAGCTTATTGGAACTCTACTATTTTGACACATCAGCGCCCTAAAACTCCTCTCCAATTGGTTTACAATGTCTCTTTATTAATTACTATGTCTTTGACCCGCACTACGTGCGGGTTTGTATTAATAGTTTGAATAAAATTTTATTATTTATAGAATTTTGTTGTAGGTAGCATGGTCATGGTGATTGTTGAACTGATGTTCATTTTCTTCGTCCTTTGTTTATTTTTCTTCAGTTTGTTCTCCTTTCTTCGTTTTCTTTCTTTTGTTCTTTGGTTTCTTCTTCATCTCTACCCTTCCTCATCTTCCTCTTATATTTCTTCGTCCTCGTGGTTTCTTATTCTATTTATTCGGTTATTTGGTCTCTTTCTTCATCTTTATTCATCTTTTGTTTATTTTTTTCCTTCGTTCTTTGATATCTTTGTCCTCCTTTTCGTTTATGTTCCTTCTTATTCTTTGTACTCGTCTTGGTTATTGTTCTTGTATTTCTTCTATGATTAATTTAGACAGTCGTGCCAGGTTTTTGCTATTTTTTTGTCAGTTTTTTTTATTATTCTCTGCTGGAATTTTTTCACTATTTTATCCATTTTATAAATGATTTTATTGTAATCCTCTTTAATTTTATTTTATGTAGAATAAAATTTTCACTATCTGATACACTTACCCTAACTTATAAATGTAAAAGATTTATAGAAATAAAATAAAGTTACAGATGTACAATTACATATTCACACATATAATGAGCAATGTCTAACAGTAATAGAAATAATTCAATTTCTGTGATCATAATATTTAGTTAAACATAGCTTTCAATTTCCTATTCCTCGGTTTCATCTTTTTATTTGGTTTCCTGGTTTACCTTTCTATTATGGATTTTTTTTCTTTTCATTTTTTGCTATCTTCGTCTTCGCTTTTCTTCATTTACTTCGTTTTATTTATTTTTATCTTCTTAGTTCTTATTCTTTTATTTCTTCTATGACTGATTCTTTCTATCAAAAATACTAGGTTTCACTATAGTTTTTTTCTTTTAGCTTTCTCTTTTTCTATGTATTGGTTGTCCTTCGCTTTAAATTCTCCATGACTATATCTTTTATAAATATGTTTAGTATATACCTCTTTAATCTTAGGTAGAACAATTTTCACTATCTAATACATCTAGCTAAACCTAAAAAGAAAATATATGTTTGAACAAATTTAACCTAGAGAAACTAATATTATTGTAGATAAGCTAATACTAATATTTAGGTTGATTTCTAAGGGTATTAATTAAAATTTATTTGAAAAGAAGCTAATCGACGCACATCGTTATTCTTCATTTCCTTCTTCACTCTTGTTTCTATGTATTTTAATTTTCTTTTATTTATTCTTCTTTAATTTTTCCTACTTTGATTTCTTATTGGTTCTTATTTGGTTTCTTATCTATTTTTACTTATCTTCGCTTATGCTCTTTTTCATCTTCGCTCTTATTTATTCCTCCTTTGTATTTTTGTTTGGCTTCTGCTCTTCTTAATCTTTGCTCTTCTTTATAACTTCTTTATGTTCTTGTTTGATTTCATTTCCTTTTTCACTGTTGTTTCTATGCTTTTTATTTTCTTTTATTTCTTCTTCTTCAATCTCTCCTATTTTGATTTGTTCTTTTTTCTTATTTGGTTTCTTATTCATTTTCACTCATCTTCCCTTATGCTCCTCTTTATTCCTCATTTGTATTCTTTTTGGTTTCATGTCTTTCGTTCTTATCTTTGCAGAATTTTAAATTTTAGAAAAATTCTTATTGTTAAATAAGTTTATGTGTACTAATAATATTAGTTGTTTGAAATTTATTATAACTAATTTACACGGCATATCTTTTTTTGTTATTAGAAAATATAATTTCTTTATTTTCTAAAGTATTTGGTTAATACACTTTTCTGAAATATAAAAAGGAAAATAATTAATTAAATTTAGTGATGATGATGATGTGGAATGATATTATCGGTTGTTTAAAATCATATATACTTAATTTACTTATCTCCTACATATTTTTAAAAAATTACTTTCTTAGTTATGTAAATGGTTATGTGTACCAATCAAATTAAGATAGTTGGATTTTATATGATGATGAGGAATGATACTATTGGTTGTTTAAAATTTGGAAAATTACTTAATCTTGAAGATGATTATTTCGACCAATAAAATCATGTTTAATCATTATATGATAGCGTGGAATGATACAATTGGTTATTTATATTTGTCAATTTTCTTAATTTTGTTGATGTTTATATGGACCAATAAAATCGCATTTTTAAATCCTATGTGGACACTTTTAGAGGTAATAGACTCAAATGAGGTAATTGAGGTAATTTCTCATGCACAATAATGGCCCATACATAAAGCTCTAGCACAAGATATCAATATACTGCTCTCAAGTCTCCAAAGTTATAGGGTTGTCTTCCAATCACATTAAGGGAACGGTGTGGCGGATATAATAGCAAGGGAAACTATCTCTTTCGAAAACTATGTTCCTAAGGTGTATTCTATAGTGCCAAGTTGGTTTAAATCCTTTTGTATGGATGAACTCTTGCAGTTGTAACAATATTCAAAGGGTCAATTTTCTCTCTGACGATATTGGGCTTAGTAATAAAGAGTATAGTTAATAAAGAGTATAGTCATGCTCTTTTCAAAATAAAACCAGTAACAAAGAGAAATCTTTCTTAGCCCATTATCTCATTCCACAGACACGTTAATTGCTCTTTACCCTCATGAGAAATTATATTATAGATAAAGAGAAAATAGTATAGACTACCATATTTATACTGCAATAATCTGAAACTGTTCTTGTGATTGATCTAGGATTTTTTCCCGTATTTAATAGTAATTTAAAATGAAACAAATCGATTTGGTGAAAACCCCGGAAAAGAGGAAAAACATAACATTGTTTGGAAATAGTGGAGAACGCATGTGGTTCACATAAGGGTTAATTTGGTGAGTAACCATATGGGAGAAAAAATTAAGAATAAAACCATGCAAATAAAACATGGATTTTTTTGTGCTATATTAAGAGAATAACTCTCTCCATGGTTGTGACACATCAGCAATTTTGGTTGTTGTGAGCACGACACGTGGCATGAAAAGTAAAAACTTTTCAAATCTTTCATGACTTTTCAGTTTTTGCATTCAATGTATCTCTTCACATTCTAATATTTAAATAACAATTTCGAGTACAATAAACGAAAGTTAATGTTCGAAGATTTAAAAGAAAGTAATAAAAATAACTAATTATTCGTGAAGTATATTTACATATTTAAGTGTAAAATTTGTTCATTTCCTTATATATATAAATATGTGAAAACATTACGTCAAAATGATAGAATTGTATGAGGTAAGGATCGAGTAAAGATAATTTATTTATAATTCATGGCCCTAAAGGAAAAAAAGTTAGTTTGGCCCTAATTCATGGTTTTATTACTAGATTAGCTCTTATTTTAATTTTATTATTAATGAGTTTTTTTATACCTAATTTAACCCCAAATCCTTTGTTAGCCAAAATATGAATTACATAAATGCCATTAAAATAATTTTGTAGAAAAAAATGACAGACTTGTTCTCATGAAGCAATAGACTTATTTTTATATAGACTTATTTATCTTAAGCTACAGATTTACTTAATTTTGACAGACTTATTTAGGAATCTACAGATTTTTATTTTTTCTTTGACCATAGACTTATTAATTTTGACAAACTTATTTAGTTTATATTTCCTTTAGCCACAAATTTACTTAATTTTGACAGACTTAATTAGTTTTCGATAGACTTGTTTTCCTTTAACAATAGATTTACTTAATTTTGACAGACTTAATTAGTTGTTGATAGACTTGTTTTTCTTTAGCAATAGATTTATTCAATTTTGACAAACTTATTTAGTTTTCGATAGACTTATTTTATTTTTCGATAAACTTATTTTGCTTTAGCCACAAACTTATCTAACTTTGACAAACTTGTTAGTTTTCCACAAATTTACTCGAAAAGTCTGTTTTCCTTTAAACACAGAGTTTTTTCTAATGGTCACAGACTATTTGTTTTTAATGGATAACCAAAATATCTGAAAACCTGGAATTTTCTGTGAGAAAGAAAAAAACAAAACTGTATTCTTATGTTCTACTTTGGATGACGAATTTGATCAACAAAATGGGAGTTGGATCAAGGCAAAGCTGTTTATGGGTAGGTTTAACTGTTTTATAGCAGCATGATCAAACTTACAATCATTCAGAGTAATAACCAAGCTCTAAATCGCTGTGAAAGTAACCAAAAAAATCTGAAAACCTGCAAATTTTGTGAGTTAGAAAAAACAACTGTGTTCATATGTCCTACTTTGGATGACGAAATCTGATCAATAAAATGGGAGTTGGATTATGAAAAGCTGCTTTTGGGTAGATTATATTGCTGTATATCAGCAGGAACAAACCCACATTCATTCGGAGTCTAAACTCAACTCCAAATACTTCATCAAAGTCACCAAAAAGTCACTTAAAAACCTGCATTAACTTTTCAGAGATAAAAAAATCATGTATTGTGGTTGACTTGGTTTTAGCATGTAAATATCTCTGTTAAGATTAAGACAATGATTGATAAAGTATGGTTCTTATAATTTAAGTGTATGACGATGGAGTAATTGCCATTTTCGTTGTTATTTGTGTGTGATAGTATCTGATTCCTATGGAAAATGTCACTTGTGAATATCGCTATTTATAAGATCGAAGGGAAGCGAGAATCGACGGAGTTCTCACCGTCGAATTTGGTTACTCGAGCAACAAGCGAAATTTTCACCGTTGCGGCACATGGATGGAGTTTATCGGATTTGGACCCTTGCCGCTGTTTCCTCTTTGTTTTTTAAATCCCTAATTGTTATTTTCTGATTTAAGTTTAAA